AGAAATAGAGAGAGTAGAAATAAGTAGCTTGCTGAAAAAACAACTTCTCAAAAACTTCATAGAGAGCAAATACAGAGCTATATTTACAATTATTCAGCTACTAGAGGAAGATAGTAATCACTTACTTTAATGGCAACAGATTAGTATACTAAGAGGAAGCAAAGAAAAAAGTTGTAAACCAAATTAGTTTAAAACAATTGAAAGAAAAGTTCTAACAGATGATCACTCTAGAGAAGTATCAAAAGAATTCAAAATCTAAAGCAAAAACAAAGCTATATTAAAAGCAAAAAAGCAGAAGCTTAGTACTGACAGGAGAAAAAAAGAATGAATTATCACTAAAACAAACAGCATACTAATTATTAGAAAAATAGCAAAAGTAACAAAAAGAAAATTTTTACTAGCTCACTAGAAGATCATAGAAATGAGTAGTAGACTCAAGACAAAATTATCAAGATGCAAAAGATGTAGCAATAGTAATAGAGGCAGTACAGAATGCTTAATCAGTATAAGTTTAGAGAAGTGGCATCAAGTTATTAGTAGAGTATTAAAAAAAAAAGAAAATAAGATAGAGCTTAAAGTTCTGATATCAGTACTATTAGAGAACTATAATAGTCTTATAGCAGAGCCCTTAAATTTACAAAATAGTATTCAAGTTGTAATTGCAGAAAGAGAAGAAACAATAATACAAAGATTAATTAGAGAAGAAAACATATAAGAAGAGCTTATTTCAATTTTAAAAAAGTTAAAAAGCAAAAAAGAGTTAGATATATATACGAATAGGTCATTAGTTAAAAAAGGTACAGATAATACTAGCAAAATAGAGATAGAAATAGGTTGAATAGTAGCTAATATAGAACAAAACAATATAGAGAGTATTAGTTTTAGCAGTAGATTAGCAGACTAGCCCTCCTCAACTTATGCTAAATTAGGTGCAATATGAACTATGATATTAGTAGTACTATGTAATACAAGTATAAATATCTTTTTAGATAGCAAGGTAGCAATTGAGAGTATAATAAGCAACAAAACAGATAGCAATATGCAGTAGCTTTTTAAAACAAAAAACTGTAGTCTAGTCAAACAAATTAAGAAATACTACAAAGCAAAAGAAATTGAACTTAAATTAACAAAGATCAAAGGCTATAGCAATAACTTTTAGAACAACAAAGCAGATTCTCTAGCAAAAGAAAGATTAAGTTTAAACAAGATTTTGCATGTAGAAAATATCAATACAGATAGAATAAAAGTACTGCTTAGATAAAAAGACAAAGTTATCGACCACTCAATAAGAGTATTTGTAAACATCTTAATAATAGTAATTTATAAAACAGAATAAGCCAAGCTTAGCAACTCAAAAGATCTTATATATCTAAGTACAAAGCTTAGTAGTACAGAAAAAATAAACTAGAGAGGTCTCTGAAATATATTCAAAAAGTTCTAAGGAAGGAGATATTTAAGCCTTCAAAGTAACAAGGTACTAATTTTCAAAATAAAGTACTTAAACAAACTTCTACTAACACATGATATATATTATTAATATAAACTAAAGCTATATAAAGGTGAAACTTATATAGCCTGCTACACTACTAAAAAAACATTCAGTTACTTAGCAAAATGTGCAGTATATCAAAATATATAGACATATGTAGAAGAGATCATTATTGAAGAACTTAAGTATAAGATATTCAAAGTATAGAATATTTCTATATCTAGCTTATATTTAAAGAAAACACTACTAGGAATTGAGATTGAAGATAAGCTGAATAGAAGAATATTACATCTATAAGGCATTATAAGCAAAATACAGATAAAAGAAATGAAAGAGATCTTAGGCTTATACTTTAAAGAAAATCGAGCTATTATCTAATTTATAAATATCTTCTAGCTCAACTTTTTTAAAAAGCTATAGAAATTTAGATATAAAGTCATAGTAAACTAAGAGAAAGTAAACAAAATAAACACATAAAGAAAAAAACAAAAAAGAAAACAGAATCCAAGAGAAAAAAAACAGCTAACAAAGAGAATTCTAATATATCTGAAATACAAACTAAAGAAGCTCTATATAAAAAAGAAAAAAAATTCTTGAGAAATCTAAAGTAGTAGTCTTAAATTGAATTAAAACAGGTGTATATAAAGAGTAGTTACATTTTAAAAACAAATAGGCAGTCTTAATATAGGCTAGTAGTAGCTTTCTGAAGATTAGAAATAAGCAAGCATATCTAAGTATATACTAATTTCTAGGAGGAAAAAAACTACTGCAGCAGATCGCATTTGAGCACCAGATAGGTAGCTGAGTAAGTTCAGAATTATAAAAAAGAAAGCAATCAAAAATTAAATTAGTTTTAATTTTTTGTATTTGTCTTAATGCTAAATTCAGTATATCTCTTAATAAAATGAAAGACAAGATCATCTAAGTAAAAAAAATAAAATAAAAAAATAAAAAAATAAAAATTAAAAAAAAAATATATTAGATTTGTACTATATAATTACTAATAGTACTATTAATTTTATATTAATTTTCAAAAACTATATAGAAGAATCTAATAATCTACTAATCTATTCATTAGCAACTTTATTAAAAAGAAATTTACAATCATAAAACAGTTTTAAAATATCATAAATAGCCTTTGCATCTCTCTATTCATTATCATTAGATATATCAAGAAACATTTTATCTCTACTTTCATTCTAACAATTACATTCTTAAATTTAGTAACTGATTACAATATCAAGTATGTAGAATTCTAACAGATTTCATAATCTAATAGCTGAATTACAGATTTTATATATTTGAATTCACAAATATCTAAGAAAATTTACTGTTGCTTTAGTGATGTATGTATTGCTTTAATGCAGCTATAAATTTAAACAATTTTTTTTTTTATTTTTTTTTTATTTTTAAGGTTACTTACATTGCCAAGCAAATTTTATTAGTTTGATATATGAGATTTCACATAGATTCCTCTACAGTTTGTAATTACATGAAGAGTATACAACAAACTATATGTACAACTTTAATTATTATCTAATTTAAGTAGTTCACTATGCAGACGTTAGACTACCTGTTAGTACTATACTATGCTACTATACCTATAACTTGTCTGTGAGTTATCTATTTAAACACTCTGTTCAACTAACCTATACTGTTACAAACTAATGTTACTATAACATCTTACTACTTAAGCCAACTAGTTTGTTGCAGATCTATTTATTGACTTCAGCTTAGATCCTCTTAGGATGCTTATGCTCAATATATTGTAAGCTTTGCAGAGCTCCAGTTAACCTCAAAGTAAATCTACTAGAGTAGCCTATACCTATTTTATAAACTTACCTAGATTAGACCCTTGTAATATTTGTACAACTTCAGTTCCTGCTATAGCTCTCCACTAGTGTCTGTATTCTCCCTCTTAGAACATTTTACAAGACAGATCCTTCCAAATCTAGTTAGCTACTAAGCCAAGTTGGTGTTGCTGATCCTCTGCTATAAACTGAACTTACTCACATCTATTCTGATCTATGCTTTTCTTAGTGATATTTCTTGCTAGATCAAACATTAACTGGCTTGACTGTAAAAAGCTATACTACTTCATCAACTCAAGATTTTTACTATGCAGGTCCTCTGCTCATAGATCCTATTAAGATTTCTTTGTATAATATTATGCTATACTTCTAATGTTTGAGTAACTTGGTACAACTTAATTTATAGAGTTACAACCCCAGAAATGAATAGGGTTTACCATAAGTTAGATACAAAAGTCTGAGTAATTATTCAAATTTGTCAATAGTGGAATTTGAACCCCAGACCTCTTGTATGGTAGTCTGACAACCTAATCACATACTAAGATCACCAGACCTATAAATTTAAACAATTTTAATTAAACCATTATTCTCATATTATTTATTAAAATTATTATATAGTGTAATTAGTCTAATTGTATCAAATAATTTATAATAATATAATATAGTTTTAATGTATATATATATTAATTAAATCTTTATTAAACTTTTTTAAAATATTAATAGAACTAGAATACTTGCACTGTACTAAATAAATATAAAATCATTTTTTTCATAACCTTTAATATTTCTTTTAAATTATCTTTTATAATAATATTTAATATGTATGAAAAAGATCTTTATTTATTTCTATAAATAAGTTTTAGAAGATATTATCAGCAGTTTACATATCATGACATCATTTGAAAATATATTATCAAGAGTAATAGTTTGCAACTATAATAAATTATATAAAGTTATAATATGCATTATAAATTTACAATTCTACTAAACTATAACCTTAAAATTATTCTAATTCTAAAGTTAATAACACTAGTTAAAATTAAACTATAATTATCTTAGTAGTAATAGACCATTTATCTATTTTAGCTTTTATAAAATTTGTAATATTAATATCAGTATGTAGATAAGAAATTAATATAAATGACAATAGAATAGAAATAAGATTCTATTTATCAAAAAAATAGTCAGTAATTGCCAAATATCTAAGTTGTTAAAGTAATATTTAGAAATTATAGATAAGAAAGATTTTGTCTTTGATATTTTTAAATATATTTTTAATTAGCACTTTTCTTTTATTATTAGTGCTTATAATATCTCATTTTATTATGTTAATACTGACTATAAAATCAAGTAATAGTCTATTAATAAGCTTATAAAAACCCTACTATTCTACAAGTTGAAAACTTAATTCATCTAAAACTACCATATCAACTACATCTTTTCAGATTGACTCTTTTGTAGATATTCAGTTTGTATTAAATCTTAATTTTGTTTGATTATTTGTTTTTAGATTAAACTTATTAGATAATAATTATTTGTATTTCTGACAAGAATCAAGATAGTACTTCAGCAATAGTTATATTTAGCTTTTTGTTCTTTCAAACTACAAATATATGCCTTAATGTAGTTTTACTAGTAGTTTCATTAGTAGTTTTACTAGTAGTTTTACTAGTAGTTTTACTAGTAATTTTGCTAATAATTTAACTAATAGTTTTACTAGTAGTTTCACTAACAGTTTTATTAGTAATTTCACTAGTAGTTTTATTATTAATTTTATAAGTAGTTTTATTGCTATTTTTACTAGTAATTTCTAAGATTGTTTTACTAGTTCTACTAGTATTTTTATTAAGAGTTTTACTAGAGGTTGCTATTGCTATATCATCTATTACTATATCATCTATTTTTTTTTTTTTTTTTTTTTTAAAGAGGGCTTGCTTTACTAAGAGTATTTTATTAATTTATCAGTACAGGGTCACAACATAGATAACCTTTGCTGTTATAGTTACATGAAGAGTATACAACTAGTCACATGTATAACTTTAGTTATTGTCTATTTAAGTAGTCTGCTATATAGACATTAGATTATCTGAGTAGTTCTATACAAGCTACTATATCTGTAATTCACTTGTGAATTATCTGTTTAAACACTCTGTTCAATATTACTATCAAATATAACTCTAAATTAATATCACTGCAACATCTAACTGCTTAAGCCAGCTAGCTTATTATAGATTATCTACTACTAGCTTAGGTCCTCTTGGAGATATATTATACTCAACGTATTGTTAATATCTGTAGAGCCAGTTAACCTCATAAGCAAACCACTAGAGTATCTTATATCTATTTTATAGATTCTACTTAGATTAGACCTTTGTTGATATTTATATGAACTCAGTTCTTTCTATAGCTTTTCACTGGTTTAGTCTTTTGAGATTTCTAAGATGTTTTACAAAGCAGATCCTTCCAAATCTAGTTAGTTGCCAAGTCAGATTGGTACTGCTAGCCTTTTTGCATGTCAGACAGACTTACTCACACCTGTTCAATCTACAATGTATATATATAAACTTCTACACTAGATCAAGTATTAACTGAATTAACTGTTGAAATTTATACTACTTTATCTAACTTAGGATTTCTACTATGTAGGTCCCCTGTTCATAGATCCTATCAAGATTTATTCATACAATATTATATTTTTCAGACATCATATTATACTTCTAATATCTGGATGATATTAGTACAACATGATTTACAGGGTTACAACTTCAGAAATGAACAGAGTTTACTGTAAGTTGAATACAAAAGTTTAAGTAATTATTCAAATTTGTCAATAGTAGAATTTAAACCTTAGACCTCTTATATAGTGGTCTGGTAATCTAACTACTACACTAAGATCACTAGACCTTGTTCTTTTCTCTTACTACTTCAATTAAATTATTCATAATATAAATAGGGCTGCTTGTACTACTTCCTATTAATTCTGCATAATTTGGTCCTTTGAGTATACTGAATCTTGTTAGTGTCTTGTCTAGTCTTTTACTTACTATTTGTATTACTACTTTTCTAAAAGCCTTAAGAAGTACAATAGGTCTTATATTTGACAAGTTGTAGTTCTAGTCTTCTCATTTTGGAATAAAGTATAATTGTCTAATTTTCTATTTTATTAGAATATCACCTTCCTTAATACTTTTGTTTGCTAATACTAAGAAGATTTTTTGTGCAAAACTACTAGCTTTCCTTATTAGAAGATAACTGATTCCAGAGGATCTAAATGCAGACTTGTTCTTCATGTCCTTAAGTACTGATTGCCATTCCTGTGATGATATTTCCTCTGCTAGTGAGTTATATATATTTGTATCAATTTCTTCAATTAATCATATATATCTTTCTATTTGTTTATAATACTAGTACTACCAACTTTTCTTTTTCAGAATTGTGATATAAAATACTGTCTAGCTTCCTTTTATATTATTTCTTCTTCTGTTACTAGTATAGTTTCTTCTTTCTCTCCTATTATTACTCTGTTTATTCATATTTTGTTTGAGGATCTCTCTAGAAGACTGCTCAGTATATGCTTTAATTTTCTTTATATTGTTACGCATCTGATATCTACAAATTTGTTTATATTTTTTGTGTCTTCTTTTTTCTTTTCATATTGAACTTTGGAATACACTATCTTCTACTAGGTTTTCAGTTCTTTTTCTCTTCTTGCTGACTAGTATTCTTTTGTTAATTCTTCTATTAACAAGCCTAGTTTTTTATTAAGTTCTTGAATTTTAACTGACTATACATATTTGTCATGCTTCTCAATACATATATCTTGTTTTTCTACATATATATGATATAGCTTGTCTAGGATTCTTAAATCTTTTTGAATCAGATTACTATTACTTAGTTCTCTAATTAGATTGAGTCCTATTTTGGTTTCTTTATTTGGTAGTGTTTTGTAAGCGCTTTTAATAATACATCCTGCTAATATGTTCCAGAGCTCATCTATACTTTTTCTTTTGCAATACTCTTCTGTTACTGCTTTATTTGTATTATACTTTAGCTTTTTCTTTAGCAATGTATCGAGCTTCTAGCTATAATATTTCTAGTCATCTACTGTAGCTTTTTCTAGTCTCAGAATATACCTCTTTCTTTTAGTTCTTTTGAATTATGCTACTAAGCTATTCTTTTGACTAAATTCTGTAGTAAACTGTGCTTAAACAATATTATGATTACTGCCTATGATATATTTTGTATCTATAATTTTGCAGCTTATTAAATACTAACTCAGACTTCTTGAGACCTAGATATAGTCTATTCTTGAACTTGAATTTCTATTAGACTAGATATATTCTTTTCTGAGTAGGTATAATTTTTAGTACACATCTTTATAGCTTGAACTTTCTAGCTATGCTAAGAAAGGGAGTACTTGGCTTCTTTTGAATTCATTATTACTTTAATCAAGTACTCTTAAACAAATATCATTAAAGTCTTTTACTAAAATTACTTTAATACCTTTCCATTCATTCTCTCTTATTTTTTTTATGATATATTATTGTAGTAACTTTTTTGTTTCTTTGTTATTAGATGAGATATTTGCTACTATTATTAGAATTTTGGCCTTTTTGAATACCAGAAGTATATCTATATAATAATTGCTACATCTTGTTATTCAGCCTATATGTTTTTCTCATGTTTTGCTAATAAGTATCCCTACTCCTGAATCTTTAAGCTTATTCTCTTCTGCTGTTATTCAGAAGTATGAAAAGTTTGTATCATTCTTTAATGCAAATTTGCCTTGCTATTTATTTAGGTTTGATTCATTTATTCTTATAATATCTATTTTATTTTCTTCTGCTTATTCTACTAATAGCTTTAACTTCAAAATATTGCCTTTTAACCTATTAATATTGTGTATTGCTATACTTAATGTTTTATAATTTGTAACAGTGCATACTCTATTTTTCTGCTTCTCTTTCTGCATTATACTATTAGATTCTATGTAGTTTATATTTTCACCTGCCTTGTTGTAGTTTCTAAGTTTTCTTTCTTCAGAAACTAAGGCTTTCTGTAATTCAACTAGTGCTATAATTTAGAAGCAATTTGGAATCTTCTAATTCCTGTATTTTCTATTTGTATAAGATCTTATCTCTTCCTCCTCTTTAGTTAGAGCTAAAAGACTTTCTAGTATTTTTTGAATACTACTTTTTTTTTCTTTTTTCTTCTTGAGTCTTGATTTGCTTTCTGAGTAGAGATTTTTTTGAGCTATTTTTTTGTTTCTAGCTAATCTTTTTTGGTTTTCATTTATATTGTTATTACTATTTTCATCATCTGAACTTGCATTTAATTCTTTTCTAATCTGTCTACTCCATATTCTTGTATATACTTTTTCTTTCAGAAATTCTTTCTGAAATATTATTTCTTTTTCTTTCTTCTATATTTTTTTTTGAACCCATTTAGAGCTTTCTTCTAAAAGGTCTTACACTATTTTTTTCATCTTATCGAAACTTTTTTTGCTTTTCTTCGAGTAGTTACTCAGTATGTTCTTGAAGTCTTCTAGTTGTTCAGATTTGTCTTCTACTTTATGCTTCTTTATAGATATCTATTTTAGCTTATCATCATAATAATATGCTATGAATCTTGAGCTATTTAGCATATTATTTTTATTTGAAAAGTAGACTATTGCACTCCTTATATTATTATTGTTAGAATTCTTGAAGATATGTAAAGACTTTGCTCCTGTTCTTTTGATTTGTCTCTAAAGAAGCATTTCATTTATATTTTTTGGCAGGTCTGTTAATCTTCTAGAGTATTTGTTTCTTACTTTTAACTTTTCAAGATTGTATTCTCCTGTTGTGATTCTTACTAGATAATCTTTTAGGAAAGAAATACATTATATTTCTTCTAATTCTGCTATATTTACAGAATTAGGTATGAATTCTACCTCAGCTTTTGTTTTTCTATAAGCTTCCTTAATTATTTCAATATGTTTTATTCTTCTAAGGTAGTGTACTGTTTTAAAAATTTGAGGTCTCTTTGCTCAAGTTAGAAGGTCTCAGATTGTGATATATAGACCTTTTCTCTCTTTCTTACTTGTACTCTTTCCTAATATCTTTGGAGATTTATATTTTTCATTAGAGTTTTCTTTTCTCTTATCTTTACTCACAATTATTTTTGCTTCTGAGATACTTTCTTTTTTATATCTTGAAGTACCTATTAGAGTAGATTTTATCTTTTCTTGTATTGGATACTTCTTGAAGATTATTTTGTACTATTCAATAGCTTTTTTCTTAATTTTTTTCCTTAGAATTTCTAGCCCCTTGAGGCAATCAAAGTTGATAACAACCTAAGAGTTTTCTTTAATAAAGCACTTCTCAATTTTAAAGATATTGTTGTTTCTGTATATTGTTCCTTCTATAAACTTAATACATTTTTCTTTAAAATTTCCAGAAAGTAGAATAGAAGCAATTTTTGTTTTATAGCTTCTTAGCGTTTTATATGTATTTTCATTAAGAGCCCAAAGACTATCCTCTTAAGAATTTCTACTAAATTTCTTATAATTTGCTATTGCAAAGTTAATTTGTCTCTTCCAGTACTCTTTTGAATTGTTTATTTTTATTTGTGAGGTATCTAATAGTGTATCTTCTAGGTCTTCGAGAACTGTATCCTCTTTATATGAAACTAAACTCTCTTGACTTTCTGATAATTTTAGTTTATTAGCTAGTATATCTGATATTGCTTCTTCAGATATATTAGTAATATTGTTAACTTCTCTCAGAGCCTGTACTTCTTTCTTTTGTTTATTTGTGAAAAGAATATCTATAGCTAACTTGTTTTTGTTCACTAATTTCTTGTTCAAAATTCTATTTCTTGTAAGATAAGAGTTTCTATACTATTCTG